CCATCGAAAGTATCAGCAGAAGGTCCTGAACCAGGGATAGAAGAGGTGACAGAGCCAGAAGTAGGTTTCATCATGACGGTGAATACCTAGAAACAACGATAAAAACGCAAGTGCCACTGCGCGCGCGAAAAAGCTTATCTCGTGGGAGATCAGTGAATTAGCGCCCGGCACCAGCGTAGCCTTAGCGCTTCAAATGTTGAATGATGAGCACTGAGCGCTGAGCAGAAAAATCATTAACTTGAAAATGATGAAGATATATAAATACCTTTCCTCCCACCTTATCTGTGGCTGCTCTCCCGCTGGGTCTATACATCATTCCCCGCAATGTCGCTGAGCTCAGGCTGTCCGACGGATCTCTTGGCACAACATTTCTATGAAGAACCGGCACAGTACCAGCAACTTCTAACGATGGCTTTTGGGTCCACAGAGCCTCCAGAAAAGTACTTACATCTTTATTATCTAGTGAGAAACTAAAGCGTTCCCACAGACAAGGTGTGGTCTCGATAATCGTGAAGCTCGCTACATTCTTTCGAGGCTCGCCTCAATTATTGCTTGCTTTGAACACGATATTATCCAGCGGATACGCATTGACCTTTGCGCCACTACCTACGATTTCAATACCACACAGCATCGACCGGGTTATATTCACAATGCCGGATGAAAGTTGTATAGTGGATCTTGACCTTGAAACACGACCGTCAAATGACCTACTAAACACCCAAAATTCACACCGAGCAACGCTGCCCTTTCGGACCACAAGCCAAATGTGCTCTTTTGTGGCTGCTGATGAATATCATGAAATGAATCTCATTGTGGAGGCGGAAGATGCACCACTCGTGATGGAGCTGTTACAGTTTGTACGGCCTGTTCCCTTACTTACCACTGGCAATTCGAGTTCTAATTGCTTCATAGGAACTTGACCGCACTCAAGCAGCTTCCTTACGAAGGAGGTATTTGAAATCCCTCCGACATCTGAACCGTCTGCATGGCGTCTTACCACCTTCAATGTATCTGCGGAATATTGTTTGTGAAAGCGAATTTCCAGTTTCAGGTGGTGGATTCTCGGCAAGTGCTGTTTATCATCTGCTTTTTGATATCTGACGTTTATTCGGTACAGGATGTCTGGGTTGGTCGCTTGGGTGAACAGCGTGTATGCATCAAGGTCCTGCGAATGTTCATGCAGCATGAAAATAAAGAAAAGCTATTGAAGGTGGGGAATATATCTACATACTCCAAAATATGTCTGGAAAATATTCTAGAGCTTGAGTAATGAAGTTATTTTATGGAGACAGCTCAGGCACCCTAACATTCTTCCCTTTCTCGGTATCAACATCGAGTTATTTCGACCCAGTTTCTGTATAACCTCTCCGTGGATGTCAAACGGTGATATAATATCTTATGCCTCGAAATCCTCCATGTCCTTCAAGGAAAAACTTGACTACGTGAGCAATTTCTTGTTCTGTTTTTCTTGTAGCCTAACCATATTCAGGCTGTCCAAATAGCCCAAGGACTAGCTTACTTGCACGAGCTTGATCCGCCAGTGGTGCATGGTGATATCAAAGGGGTCGGTCTCCACTTTCTTTCCCGGCATTCGAGCAACAACCAACTATTCTTCTCCGCAGGCTAATATTCTCATTACCGATGACTCTCGCCAATGTTGCTTGGCTGACTTTCGGGCTATCGGTGATGGATACGCAGTCCTTCAATCCGACACATAGCGCTACCGTTCAAGGTTCTCTACGTTGGCTCGCACCGGAATTTATCAACCCAACACCTCAACCTGTCCAAGGAAGCTTGATAACTAGAGACATATATGCTTTTGGGTGCACTGTAGTCGAGGTGAGTTATATAAATACTTGATTCAAGTTCAAGCGTTGAATATAGATATACAGCTGTTTACCGGTGCACCACCATTCTCTCACCACAAGTTGGACATCCACGTTGCTATTGATGTTCTGAATGGTGTCAGGCCAACACTACCGGACGATTTACTGAGAACAATTACCAACAGCACGGGCTATACATTCATTCATTCAATGCTCGAGTCCTGTTGGTCGGAGAAGATCTCGCATAGGCCTACTGCCCGGCAAATCATTGAGATGCTTCCTATAGGTACTACAGCAGCTTTTACCGTTCCAGCTCAACAAATACTCACAAACATATTGTCAGTTTCAGAAGGTAGTGGTCAGTTGAATGATATTTGAAGAGAGTAACGAAATCATTGATAAGGTGCGCAAATTTTCCCTGGCATTCCCTTTTTAAAATCTCAGGCGCTACATGCGTGCCCTATGAGGATAATGAGCTCTACGCTACTACCAGTATGCCTGCCAAGGTAAGGTGGCTTCAGACGTCGCAAAATATCTGTATTTACTAATGTCCTTTTTTTGACGTAGCGCGGTCGTGGGCGTCCTAAAGGTAGCAAAATCAAAAAATCCGAGATGTTCAGTGTACGACGTTCCCCGTTCGCTTTGTCAGATATACTAACATTAACATCTTTCCACGTTCACGCTGACCTTAAGGCCTCAACTCCGTCCAAGAAGGTATGCAATAGATACTCTAGATTATGCGATCTAAATATCATTTAGCGAGGGCGTCCTCCAAAACCAAAAAATCCGGACGATTCAGAAGAGGAACCCAGCCCTAAGCGCAAGGTAGATTCCACAACCCATCTCATATGTCTAACTAATACACTATTATAGCGCGCGCGTCCTCCAAAACCAAAACCAAAAAATCCGGACAATTCAGACGAGGAACCCAGCCCTAAGCGCAAGGTAGATTTCATAGTCCAGATCATATGTCTAGCTAATGCCCTATTATAGCGAGGGCGCCCTCCAAAGCCAGAAAATCCGGACGATTCAGAAAAGGAACCCAGCTCTAAGCGCAAGGTAGATTCCACAACCCATCTCATATGTCTAACTAATACAGTATTATAGCGAGGGCGTCCTCCAAAACCAGAAAATCCGGACGATTCAGAAGAGGAACCCAGCCCTAAGCGCAAGGTAGATTCCACAACTCCTTTCGTATGTCTAACTAATACACTATTATAGCGAGGGCGTCCTCCAAAACCAAAAAATCCGGATGATTCAGACGAGGAACCTCGCCCTAAGCGCAAGGTAGGTTCCACAATCCAGGTCATATGCCTAACTAATACTTACCTACCTACTTATTATAGCGAGGGCGCCCTCCAAACCCAAAAACTAATCCGAGTCGCAAGGTATGTAACAGTGCAAATGGACAGTTCAGATCTTGTCTCTAATATCCTCTCATAGCGGCGCTTTGCTTCAGTTGAACTGCCAGAGCTGGCATCTATTCTGTCTCAGGTATCTACCTTATTCTTAGTTTTTTACGACTCGTTGACAAGCTGGTTCTGGGGTGCAGACTCCACATCCAGCTCTTCCCATTATTCCCGACTCGCTTCCAGCAAACCTCCATGGAGGCATCTGGGAGAACCCATTTGTACTGAAGGCATGGAGAGACTATCATCAAAGACAGTCTGTATCTTCTGGAACAAGTCGTTAGATTGTACAGTACAGTCTATTTGTAACCTAAACGTGAAGGATCATAGCTGCGATCTGTATGTATATCTATTCAGAGTAGCTTTAACCCCAACATCACTGGACATTCGATGAAGAAAAGTACCGAACTGAAATGCCCAGAAGTGCAATATATATGGGTTGTAGAAGAGACAGCAATAAAGGTACCTGCAGTAGTGAGGCTCGACTCCGACATCCATACAGAGGAAGATAGAAATATAGATCTAGATACTCATTAATGCTCATCCAAAACACCCGACACTTTGAAAATGATTCTAAAACCCTCCTCTTCTATAAAGCGCAGGGGGCTTATTTCTGCAAACCCTTGGAACAAAGGAGTGGTTCGGTCCAAGACGTCCATACAAGCGACTGCAACGGGTCAACTCCTACCCTCCATGCCACTGGCTGGACAAACATCGAGATCCAGTCATGTCGACAATCCAGCGTCGAAAATCTAGCTCGAGGTGAGATAGTGCAGTCTCGGTAAAAGGAGGGTGGAGGGGCGAAGGGAGCTCGAGGTATAGCTTTGGAGGCTTCGAATCAGTGCAGGGTTTGAGTTGGTTATGAGGCCTAATAATTCAGGGCATCGGCACGAGGTTCTTTGCTAGCGGAAGGTAAGTAGACTCACGATCTGTATAATATTATCCTGCCCTCAGAGGCCTTTCAACTCGTATTGGGCCGCTGTTGATGCTGTTCGCGGTAATAGCTGACACAATCCGGTGGAGAAAACACGCTGCAAAGCCACCGCCGCGGAGAACAGATATTTTCCAGGCCCCGTATCTCGTCGGAACTGAGTAGGTGCTTGCGTGCGGTCCAGATGCAGGTTGTGAATATCCACTCATAAATGAGGTAGAACACAGAAAAGGAGGATAGAGTCAACAGGAGGTCGAGGATTTGCGCTCGAAGGCCTGCCGGGAGAGCAACTGAGCAATTCGTAAATGGGTCAATGGAAAACGCGCAACTCACGAGGTACCTCTCCCAGAAGCAGGTTCACCGAAGAAGATGCCACAATAACCAGCTCTATCGGCAGAAAATAACGGCTCGTTCCTTCATCCGTGTCTGAAAACTTGGCATACGCCCTGATAACGCTAATGAAGACAAGCACAATTGTGCTTATATCGCTGAGCCTTGTGTTCTCTGGCCAAAAAAACCAAGTGAGAAACTTGCAAGTTAGTTGCGACATGTAGAGGCGTCGTTCGAGCTGGTCTGGAACGAAATCATCCAGAATCGATTCTGTACTCGTTTTTTCTGGGGCTTTCCCTGAAGCCTTGTTGGCGTTTTCGGATGCAGCATGGGTTTCGTTGCGAGTCGACGTTGGTGGGTTAGAGGTTCCCTGACTTGCTTTGCGCTTGGATCCAGGTTTAGGCATCTTTAGTGCGATGAAGTCAATGAATAAATTAAATTAAAATGACCATGGATTCAAAGAAAAGATAACGTTAAATTAGTCTATTTTCCTAGTGGCGGTATGGTCTAATAGTGTAGAGGTTATCACACGGGATTTTGATAGATTTCATTTACTTTCCTTAACTTCCCGTAACCCAGGTTCGAGTCCTGGTTAGACCTTTCCAAGCCACAGTGCAGATTATTTTTTTTCCTGAGGCGCGGTATTTGGCGCACACAGATCCATGGCATTCAATTTTGAAAAGAGCGCCGAGTCGAAATTGTTAAGAAAAGGAAATCGCGTTCTCTTGTTTTAAATAATTTTGAGCTTGAAAGACGCGCTTATCAGGCGTCTAATTTCTTAGCTCTTACTAGCTCTTACTTTCATGGATTCTGCTCTGCATCCACCGCTCATTCTAAAACCGCTATCGTCTCGACCAATCTCTACTAAGAATGTTGCAAAACGCATAGGGAAATTTGTCGACGATTTTCAGGCTAGAACTGCCGCTGCCCAAGCTGGAAATTCTGCTGTGACAGTGCAGCTGCAAAAACTAAAGGACGCAATGCAGGAAGAATTGGCAAGAAAATAGACCTTTCAGTGCGATTATATAACTGCGCTTGGATGGTTCTAAAACTGACTCTCGTTTCTTTACCCTAGGCATCGAGGTTTTATGGTATGAATTCACTTTCTATTCATCTTTCATCGAGAGGCTCAGCAGGCACTCCAGACGGTTATTCTACAAGAGAATCATGGGCAGACCTGCACAACTCCAAGCTTTAAGCCCATATTAAGGATATCTTTATGACTTCCATGGTCTTCGACCTTTGTCACTCTTACAATAATCATGCTATACGCTTCCTTCGTTCCCCAGTATTTAGCTGTTACCGAGTTGTGAACCATAACCCGGAACAAACCAATAGCAGCGGCTGTGATGCTTCATCGTAGAGATGGACAATCTCGATAGATACTCTTCGAGCATTTACCGTTAGTACAAGTTTCGAAATCGAGAGAAAACCACGATCGGTGAGTGTTGTAGAAGTGTTGTCCCTACTCACTCGGACTCGGAGATCTATGTCCTCAGATGTCCTCCGACTCAAAGGTGTATGTCCCCCGACTCGGAGGTCTGGGTCATACAGAAAGTTTGCCAACCTTCGGCGACAGCGGGGATTGCAGTACCTGATACAGAGTTAAATCTGTATCTACTTGTACCGATTTTTTTCGTTCGCGTTATGTAGAGGCGGCTCACTCGGTGATCACTTCATCGTCTGCGCTCATCTTCTCTCTCCTAATATCTTTTTACCCAACGAATACACATCCAGATGCTTCATTATCCAACGACACTGTCATCTCAAAAAGTAAGTACTGATAGCTCGACTTTGTACTGCTATTACCCAGCTAGAGTTCGGACTTACCAATTACAGATTCCAATCTCCGTCTGTCAGACGTTCTGGTAGACCGGTACACGGCTGCACCGAAATCTAGTAGAATCCTAAGGAATAGCAGATGACAATTCTGTAAAAGTGCCGATCTTAAGAATTTCGAACGAAATTGGCAGAATTTACAAGAATCTCGCATTTTTGAATTTTCTTGAGACAGATCATGACTCAGCTCATTGGATCTCAAGAATCTCGTCGATTGCTCTTGAAAAATTATCAGAGTATCAATTCTAAGAATTTCTTGCAGTCCATAAACTTTGAAATCATCAACGCCTTCCTTAAATCCACTCATCTGCATAAACATGGTCAATAGGCATTTAAATGTCGTATTCAAACGAAATTACGCTTCCCGCGTTGTCGAGCAGGGATCAGATGATGATTACGAACCTTCTCAACTTCCTACTCCCACAAAACGCGCGCGCACTGGCTCTCCCACTGGCCCACGTCCGAGCTTTTTAGCTGCGTTGGATGCAAACGAACAGTTTGTAATTCCCTCTTCAAGTTCTTCTTAAGCTAATCAATCATTAATTTTCTAGTATTGCACAATCCTCGGTCATCGACGACGATGTTGGCTCTCAGGACTTCTTGGAGAAGCTCCTTGAATCTCGTGGGCTAGACCCTGCAATTCTCACTTCCGAGGACATTAACAATGGTGATTCCGATATCGAACAACAGGAGTACCAGATGGAATCACAAAAGGTCTTCAGCTCCAGTCCTGCACCACCCTCGCCCTCAAAGGATCTTTCACAAGGCTGGGAATGTATGTCCTCCTTGCTTGAAACTCCTTTTCATTATATTTACCATACTCTACAGACCGCATTGAAGTGGATACCTTTGCAGAAATTGCCGCTGCTGAAGAAAACGCATCTAGTTCGTCTCAAATCTGTCTTTCTCTATCACATACTGACTTTTCTTGTAGAGTTTTGCCCTCATTCAGATGCACCGTGTCGCTGTTCAAATTTCTTAATGCAGCAGTGGTATGCCCTCAATGATTGTCTGGCCAACGAACGGAAAGAGAACAACCAGCTTCTTGCCAAGAACTTTCGCCAGAATGTACGCCTTGAACGATTACAACATACACTGTCAAAAACGCTTGAGCTACTTGACCCAAAGCAAGTTCAAGAGCACAAACACCTTCTTAAAGCTGCGGCAGAACTAGTGGAAACGAAGGAATTGCTTAGGGATGCCCAGATGCAGGCAAAGGAGGCACGGGTTGCTCAGAAAATGGCGGAGGAATGTTTGCAGGAATCAAATTCCTTGCGTCGGCAAGCGATCGAGTTGTTACAAGGATGAATGTTTTTGTCGAAAATTTTATTTATCTTTCCTGAACCACCATGAAGCTCCGTCGACTGAAGCGCGACACACCCCTGTTGCGTCTAATTGCTCAGAAGCGACAAATATTCTGGCTTCGTAAAGCTTCTTACAATGAAAGATGTCGCCGCCGAGGAACGTATAAGTCACTAAAGTATTTTTTGTGTGCTATCCCTTTCTGCTATATGCTTTCGGTTGCAATTTATCTCGCAGTTCAAACTAGCTCGCTGCTTTATGCTGCTGTATCGACAATTGATATCCCATTTATTGGGCTTATATCAATGGTCTTACTTCTCCGGGGATCAATTCAGGAGGCAAGAGAAGAAGAAGGTACTTTCGCGCTTAGATCAATCCAATGATGTTCTAACATGTATAGATCTTCAAGCAGACTGTAATGTCCAAAATCTTGAGCCCCGGTCACGCAAATTTAGAAGGCATCCTATTCAAATCTTTGTGCAAGGCCCATTCGCGACACAGAAATTGGGTACAGTGCTATGCGCTCTCTCCTGTTCTTTCATCTTACCCTTGCATAGACATTTACCACGAAACCACTATCTACGACATCAAGGCTGAATTGCGGAGAAGGCACTTAATCAGCGATCCCACCATTCGACGAAGCTACACTGTCACAAGCTCTCTGCGGCCATTTTCACTGGAGAATCATGTCCGGCTTCTTGATGTTGGACTGGAGAACATGATGACTTTATACATTCGTCCTCTGTTACTGGGTGGTGCAAGATCACACCAGCACCAATCGTCTCAAGGTAATGACTTGATGTTTCCGGAAAAGTGAAGCTCACTGTAAAAACAAAGGCTCAACCTCATCAGGCACTAATTTCAACAATCGGACAGGCAAATTCCCTTCAAACGATCCATACAGTACGTTGTCATATATTCATGTCAACTAATTATAATTTAACGTACTTTTAGATTGGGAGCCTGACCCTCTGAACGTGAATACTTTCCGATGCCGCATATGTACACAACATGGCGGTGAATCCCAGTATCTTCAATCGCGCAATATTCGTCGCCATGAAAAGTCTGACCGACACATCAGAGCAGTTGAACGTCGTAGAAAGTCCTTGAACCAGGAGTCAACTCCTGGAACCAGCAATAATCCTCAGGTACATGCCTCCTCGCAGCATGCTGAAGTTCGCGGTGTTCTAGGGTCAATCCTAGCTGGCATGCACGCAGCACCTTTATCTCAGCCCAACCAGTCCACCTCAAGCTCTCTAGGACCAGAGCTGTCGCCTGATCCTCTCATGACTGATGACATTGATATGGACTCATTCAATACCGCTTGGGAAACTGAATCACCAGAGGTCACTTCATTACCTCCTGAGTTTGTGGACTCCCTGGAAGCGTATCTCAACATCAATGAAGTGTTTGACCAAGAGTCCGATTCTGATGAAGAAGTTGAACGGAGCGACAGCGAGGAATCCCAAAAATCGGATGCTGATCTTGGCAAGCTTTCTTTTCCTGTTTTATGAAATCAGCCGCCACTAATCTTCTGCATAACAGAGGCTCAATTTCCGCACCTCTTTTCCCATCGCAGACAGCATACCAGTCAAGATCCTCACTCCCCTTATTTTCCATGGCCTGATCGCGAGGTATGTCAAGTCTTCCCCAAGAATTATTTATTTCAGATTTAAAAATGGGGATATAGACCTGCGTTCTGGATATACTTCGCCATATTCCACGGTGTGCATTCTCCCGTAAACAGAATACTGCCATTCATTGGGCTATGCTCGCGCTTGGTGTCTCAAACTTACCATCAGACAGAACTATGGATGCTATTGACCAAGAAATGCAACGGATGTGCGGTATTCGGAGTATTCGATATGAGGGAAAGCTTGGGCACGTATACTATGCGAATGACTTTGCTGCAATTCTTGCTCAGGTAGCGTATGTTACTCACAGACGTGAACAAAACTGAAAAGCAGGCATGAGCAGGAAATGTCGAATCCCAGTGTACGGGCTCATTTGAAGTTCCTACCAGAAGACTCCGGGAACCATCTTTCGCAAGCAAATCAAGCAGACCGCTGGCTCAAAGAACTGGACCCAGATCTATTGACTCCAGTGCAACATCTCGCAGGCCAGGATTTTTTCACACTTGAGCCAGCTATTCTGACACGCAAACGCGTTTGTATGCCATCACGCTGGTTCATTCGAGATAAAAATCTTTTTGCAAAAGCGTGGACAATGCGAATAATCGATGATGAGCTGTTCGGCTCTGGTTGGGCAGTCCAGACATTTAACGAGATAGAGATTCCTGCTGCAGATTTTGTCATTGCATTCAACCAGTTTCAAACAACACACATAACACTTGGACTTCCGGATCCATGTGCAATCGTTGGTATGTCTTATGTATAACATTTATCACCCTAAAGTAACTGAGATTTCTATGATAGCGGAAGAGGACTCCAGTGACGATT